GGGTGAGTCCAATTTCTTGTGTTGGAAATACAGTTTAAACTTGCTGCATAATGACTTCTACCAACACAGATGAACTTTCAAGATATCTAATTTTTAATTCATGTCTCTCTGTTCCGCAGACTATGCAGATCGCTGGCATCGCCTCCGCTGCCAAAAACATCGTTAGCACCACGGACGGGGCCGTGCGTAAGTAACCTCTCTTTCCCCCGCATGCTAAGTTCGTGACATGTATAATATCACATATGTAGTTATGTTTACCGAAGGATAACATATTTGTTTTCACTCAGTTTCTTCCTCTCCTTCTTCTATTCACTAATGTTTTTTATTGTTTCTTTGTAATCTTTATTATTTCTTTGTAATCCCCTAGCGGTCTCTGATGCTGTAAACATCGCCATCTACTCTGTGGGCATCATCATCGATTTTTTGCTGGTTATTGGCGTGAAGAAGGTGGGAGTTTTTACATATTTGTATAGTCGTCTGCTGCTATAAAACTTTGATATAGAAACAAACTATTAATTATTCATTTTACAGTTCCGCGTGTGTTTGTGTGGTCGTGATGCATTGTGGTCTAAGGTCAAAGTTGAAGGTCATGCTTTGTTTGCAGCCAGGGGATTCCCCGTCAGACCACAATGCATCGCGACTGCACATGCGCACTTTTTATGGGTTCACCACACCACGAAGTGGTGGTGAACCCATATTGCTTTTTCTGATGTTTCTTCTTCTCCTTCTCCTTCTCCTTCTCCTGCCATTTTTTAAATGGATTCATCTTCTTCATTTTAGGGCCTAAGGTCCTGAAATTTGGTATGGAGGTACAGTGGGCAAATACCCCTAGGCGTTTTTTAAATTTTTGTGATACAGGCTTTTAGAATGGTTTTATTTGAGTTTTTTGGCTGTGTTATAGCAAATGTATTACTGTGTTAGTGTGCCATGTTTACCACGTCTGGGCATGAGTCATCACAATGGAATGCAGGGCATCAACCAATAGGCATGCAGCTTTCCTCTTTTCTTCTTGCTGATTGGCTGTTGGGATTTAACTTGATTAACACCTGCACAGAGCATTTCCACTTGCACAGAGCATTTCTTGCTGATTGGCTGTTGGGATTTAACTTGATTAACACCTGCACAGAGCATTTCCATACTGACAGTATGTCTTTATTCAAGTGTTTTGGTAGGTTATATTTCAAGCTTTTCTGCTCCAGCATTGGAATGCGGGGCATGAACGTTTTTTTTTTATTTTGAAAATCAACAGTTTGCATTATGCAATTAAAAATCCTAACCAATAAAGTAGGGAATAGCTATCCAACTGTTGTTTTAGTTGTATGTTACTTCATATTATAGTTATATCAATGTAAATCATTGTTTCCCTTGTGTTTCTCATTCTTTCCCTGCCATGTCGTAAAATGTGGTGAACCCATCGCTG